AAGGAAGGAAGGAAGGAAGGAAGGAAGGAAGGAAGGAAGGAAGGAAGGAAGGAAGATTTTTTACCCAGAACAAAATCAGAACTTCTGTTAGGAACAACTTTTTAATATGGCTAAGAAATGATGACCAAATTTAAATAAGTAAAGTCTCCCTTGAGTCCAGATCGACTCCTAGTGATTTCATTAATGAACCCATGTAGTTTTCCTGGCACAGTACAGAAAATGTTTGCTACTGCCTTTTCCCAAGATATTTTCTCAGCTCCCCAGTCAATTCTACTAGTTCAGTATTTACTGGTGGCCTCCTAACCAAGTATTAACCAAGTTTAACTCTGTTTAATTCTGAGCCCGGGTAACCTCATTCAGATCCTACCAGCTGCTCAGACAAATTTCAATAAACCTATATTTAACTGCTAGATTGATTGAAGAAAGATTGCAATAGAAGGAGCAGTGATTGTATCAAGGAACAGGAGTCTACTTGCCTTAACCAGAGCTGCTGCTCAAAAAATAAATAATATTGTCTTCTTCATTCCTGTCCATACCAGGCTGCGATTTAATCCCAGTTGAATATCTACGATGGGGTGATCCAGAACCCATTGCTGCAGTGGTTTTCGCCTGCTTGGGTCTCCTGGCCACTTTATTTGTCACTGCCATATTCATCATGTACCGCGACACGCCAGTTGTCAAATCCTCTAGCCGAGAGCTCTGTTACATCATCTTGGCTGGAATCTTTCTGGGTTACCTGTGTACCTTCTGCCTCATTGCAAAGCCCCAACAGATCTACTGTTACCTTCAAAGGATTGGCATCGGTCTCTCCCCGGCTATGAGTTACTCAGCTCTAGTGACGAAAACAAACCGCATTGCAAGGATTCTGGCTGGCAGCAAGAAGAAAATCTGCACCAAGAAGCCACGGTTCATGAGCGCTTGTGCCCAGCTGGTCATAGCTTTTATCCTGATATGTGTTCAGCTTGGCATCATCGTTGCCCTGTTCATTATGGAGCCCCCAGATATAAAGCACGATTATCCAAGTATCCGAGAAGTGTACCTGATATGCAACACCACCAACTTGGGGGTTGTGACCCCTCTTGGATACAATGGTTTACTCATCTTAAGCTGTACCTTTTATGCATTCAAGACCAGAAATGTCCCTGCAAATTTCAATGAGGCCAAATACATTGCCTTTACTATGTATACCACCTGCATCATCTGGCTGGCCTTTGTACCAATTTATTTTGGGAGCAACTATAAGATTATCACCATGTGCTTTTCAGTAAGCCTGAGTGCCACTGTGGCACTCGGTTGCATGTTTGTACCAAAGGTGTATATCATTCTTGCCAAGCCAGAGAGGAATGTACGCAGTGCATTCACCACGTCAACTGTGGTTCGCATGCATGTTGGAGATGGAAAGCCTTCTTCTGCAACCAGCCGTTCAAGCAGTTTGGTCAACCTGTGGAAAAGAAGGGGATCATCTGGAGAAACTCTAAGGTAATCTGTGTTTTAGTGGATTTTTGTGTGATAGGTGGGGAAAGAGAAGAGGAAAAATGCTGATCTTAAACATTAGTATTTCTACAGTGCCATGCATTTCACAGATATTATTTAGAACAATTTAGCACACTTCTATCTTTCAAGATTCAGAATCTTTCTTTGCATTGGTCTGCAATAGAGAAAAATATTTAAGCATTTATATTCTGAATTAGTCTTATTATTATTTTATCTAGCTAGATCCAGATGGTCTTATTCAGTCTGGTACCCTCCAGATGTGTTGGGATAGCAGTATTCTAAATTTTAGGAATCCCAGTACTCAGAGGGCACTGACTAGGGAAAAGTGGCCTAAATCTAGTCTCCTGTTTTTCCTTTTCTTCCCATTTCTCCCTCTCCACTTTTCTATTTTTGACAAGCTTTCTTTTTTTCTCCATATAAGTGATGCAACTTATCCTAGGACAGACCATAGCCCTGTCATGGATCTCGACCTGCCCATTGGAAGCAAATGGTTTGGTATTGGTTCAAGTAGCTAATGCAATAGCGGTGTATCGGAAGACCATTTTCCAACTTACCATACTTAACTTACCATAGCATATATGCAATTTCTTAAACTGATTGTCAGGCTTCCTGTATATCTTTTCCTTGTGTTGTGGGAATCCCTTCCTCCTAATGCAGACACTCCCAGCTATACTATGTACATTTCATATATGCCATGAGTGGGTTATAACGCAATAGAAAAAAAAATCCATGTGATTAACTTCCCTTTATCTTTGGAAGTAGAGGGATCTGGGTGCATATAAAATGAGCCTTTGTGAGCAAAATCTTACCGTGCAATAGGAGCAAGTGTGCAGCAAAATGTATAACACAATAGCCTTTGTGCTGTCCCAGTAAGATGTCAGTGTCTCTCATACACACACACACACACACACACACACGCCTTTGCGGACCAGTTGAGTCAGCTGCATGTACACCAGAAAAAAAAGAAAAGAGCCTGGACACAACAAGAAATGCAGATTGCATCCTCTTTCCTTTGAAGCTATTAATCCAAAATTTGTTTCTCTCTGCTGATCATCAAACTCACTGTGGGCTTACTGTATATCTCAGCACAGTGAAGAGACAACATAATTGCTTCGTAACTAGAAATTAATCATTCACCATTCAGTAGATAGGATCATTAGTTGCTATTTTTGGAATTTCCATGAGTGTTTTCCAAGTGATTCAATTACTATAAATTTTACTCTTTATATGTCATTCCTGCCTACTCTTTGCTTTCCTTTCTTTGCCTGCCATTACTTATTCTGCTAATTTACTCTCAGCTGTACTTTAAGCATCCCTATGATGCAATTGTTTCCCGTGGCCCTGCAGCTTCCGTGCTTGTTACTCGTCACCCTAGTGTCAATGTCTGAAGCTTATTCATTGGTGGCCTCTTTATTCCTAATTAAGGAGAAGCAAGGATAATAAAGAATGAAGGCAAGTAAATGCAGCAGCAGTAGTTGCTTGGATGCTGTGACCTTTGTCAACGAAGCAGAGAGCATTAAAGCAAAAGCAATGATGAATTTAAAAAGGGTCTGTCATGTCGACAGGGTCATTAGCCAGCAAGGGACGAATGATCATCCCCATTAGGGGAACCCTTCAGAAGCAATTGTAGAGCATTCCAACTATAGAATGTAGCCATTCTCTTATCTGTAGATTCTATCTGCATAGCCTCTGCAGTTTCTTAGTCGTAGTAGAGTACATACAGCTTCAGAAAAGGAGCAACAAGAGGAAACATACCAACCAAATAGACAGAAAATAAGAGGGGTAAAATTGCTGCGAGAAAAAAACAAAACTTTATTATACCAAACTCCCAATTCATTTCAAGGGAACACACTTTCATTAGGGGAATGGTATGAATCAGCTAGCTTTGATTTGTTTTTTTCATCATACCAATTTTCCCCTTATTTTCCATGGCTTCAGAAGAAGCCACACATTCGGTAAGTCTAGTCAGATGGATGCAGAGGCAGCCCTGAAGGGTGACCTGGTCATGTTAGTATTCTTAGATCCTCCATCGGCCACGGAGAAGTGCTTAGAATAACATCACTTGTGAGAGTGAATGAAGCCTGCGCTGTATCTCTGTGAGCTCTCCAAGGTCCTGAAAGCTTCTGTTCTGCCAGAGCCCCGAGCTTTTCATGCTTCTTCTACTTTATGAATGCTCAGTCCATCACTTGCTTTTTAGGAACCTCAGCCACACTGTCTGAGAGATGGGATTTGAAGGGAGAGGGGAATGTGACCACACAGGGCACAGTCAAGTACAAAGGGTACTTTTGGTGTTAGGAATGGCAGGGAGATGGACAGCACAGGATTGCTTCCTGTAGGTGGTAGAGTTAAAATATGGCTGACAGGAGTAGTCATAATGAAATGATCAGAAAATGAAAGTGTAAGGGAACACTAGATGTAGACATAAAAAGAGAAAGATGATGATTTTTTGCAACTCCAACTTCCTTATTTCCTGGCCATTGGCTGTGCTGCCTGAGGCTTATGGGACTTATAATCCAAAATATCTGGAGAATATAAATTGCCAATTCTTGGCATAGATGAATAGCTTCATGAGACATGTAATTGTTTATAAAATGCAAAGTGGTAGTATCAGAAGGGAATGTAAGCCTTTTAAAGATGTTGGTCCTGAACCATTGCTGCTGCTGACACCCTTTGCTTGTAAAATTGCTTATTAATTATGTTGGAGGACACACTTATTGGTTGAATTGGGATTTGCTTATGAGGGAAAATGCTTGCAGTGAAACATTGGGAACCATGGTCAGAGAATAGCCTTCTCCATGTGATCAAACCATGCAAGCCTTGGGCAATATCTTGGCACTCAAATAAAGCTATAGCATTAAGTCTCAGAGAATGGTGGCTCAAACGGAATCCATCATAAACTGATAATTCAGCTACAGAAGCAGTTCTGTTGGTACAAAGAATGTCCATTTTGCATCGCAAAAATGTTGCAGTGAAATACATAAATAAATATATAAATAAATAAATAAATAAATAATCTGAAAACCAAGACTGCCTTCAGCTCTGAAGGGACCATGGCCAAAATACATTGTATGGCAACAATAACACTGAACAGTATGAGAAGGCTGTTTCTAGTAACCATTTAAAGTTCCCACAATCTGCATTGTGGGAAACCAGTTGATAGCTTGATGTCGCCTCCTTGCCCTGCTAAGATTAATGGTGTGCAGCCTATGGCACAAATAATGTAAATAGTCTCCAGTCCTTTTCTGATGGCCTATCAAGCCCCAAGATTGAACCCTTGAAATCACTAGTGCAATTTTCTGCTGTTTTTTTAAAATAAGATTTAATACATCTATTTTACTACAGCTAAAGCATGTAATAGACAATGCATTCATTTTACTAAAAGCAAAACAAATGGAGGATGGAAATTGCCCTTCGATTCTGAACCTGCTATATCTTGCACTCAGTGGCTAAAATACTGGTAAAAATTAGAAAGGGCAGCCTAGCTGCAAAGAATATGCTCACCTCTGAATCTCTGATCTGTGGGGCAGTTTAGATGTCTAGATATTTGTATCTGAACCTGCAAGCATTATCCAAACCACACTCATTTCTCCAAGGCATTCCTGCTTCCCCCGTTTGCTTCAGATGATTGGATTAAGGGTCTCCATCATCTTTCTCCAACTCTCCTTTACAGAACTAATTAACGGAGCCCAAGGCAAGTTGAAGCAGAAGAAAATGTCCCCCAACTTGACTTAGAGCAGTTGGAATCTTTCTGAATAACGGTTATCATCACACAATTTCATGCAATGGCCAGGTGACACCATTTACCCCAAATCTAAAATGTGGAAAAAATATCTGGTATTATAAGATTTTAGTCTTCTCACGCAAGTAAGAACACTAACATCTTGCAAGATTGTTCAGATTGCCATCTTGTAAGAGTTCAGCCTTTGTGAAAAAGAAGAATTTGGGGACCCCAAGAATAACTTTGGCTTGGAGGCATCAAGGGTTGAATCCTGGGCTTGGTCTTAAAGCTGGCATCAGAAATATAATCTCCCAAAACTTTGTCGGGGGGGAGGGGGTGCCCAGCAGCAACCCTACACAGCTATCAGAAAATCTTTCCAAGGTGCAAGGATAAAAAACACTGCATTGTATTCCTAGTGGTCAAAGATTGGAGTCCTGTCAGGAAAAGGAGAAAAGCACTAATTCTTAGAGTCTCCATAACAGCATGAAGTCTTCCACTGAATTCAAATACCATAGGTTATCTTGTAAAGTCTAGGAACACAGACCCGTTTTTTATCCTGTAATCAACTGGTAGAAAATAACTTCTCCCAAAGATAAATCATATCTCTAAGTTATGTTTGGCAGCTGGCTCATGAATCTATTCAAGCCAATACTGAAGTGACTGGAAGCTAAAACAAAACAATGCAGAAAAAATGTGAATTGGAACGAAGTGCTTATATATAGATAGTACAGAGTGTCGTAAAGGAGTGAGTCATGCCAGTTCTTAAAGAAACCTGCTGTTTAAGTCATACCAGCAGGTCACAGAGGCCCCCCTATCATTAACGTTGTGCTCTTTTGATGTTAATTGATGGCACTGCCAAGCTGCAGCAGAAGATTGTCAAACAGATGAGGCCAGGGCTCCACACAAAACTTTGCCAGTTGTCAGCTTCAAAGCGAGGGCGAACAAAAGCAGAACAACGTGCATACGCCTGTGCAGAGTTATATATTTACTTACTTGCGTTGCGTGGGTTGCTGTTTCCTACAAGCATCTTCTAACATGTTCTAGGCCAGCCAGAATGGCTTGATACTGGTTCAGAGCAAATGCAATTAGCCCCTGGGTCTACCAAGCCACCTATCTGCATGATTATGAGAAAACTGCACAATGAAAGCCCACGGCAGCATTTTCCGTTTGTAAATGATTTGATGCTTGTTTGCATTACTGTGCTGCTCTCGCAAAAGCTTAAGGATGAATAAAAACTGGATGTGTCCATTGACTCTGATGAAAGCAC